ACCACTCACACACACACACACTCACACCTAAGGAGAATTTACCTTACAGTCATATTTTTGGACTGTGGGAGGAAGCTGGAGTACCCGGAGAGAACCCATGCATGCTCAGGGAGAACATGCAAACTCCATGCAGAAAGAAGAGGGTAAATCAGTAATTAAAAAGAAAGAAACAGATTTATGGCACACAAAAAAAATCTATGGGATAAAGATGAGAAAGGAAGATGATTATATAGGGTTAAAAAATCTGTAATTGTTAAAATTTATGCAGAGAGAAACAGAAGGGAAAAGACAATTTATACTAGACTAATAATTGGACATACCTACTTGAACGAGTTTTCGTTTGTACGAGGGAATAGAAATAATGATTTATGTGAGGGTTGTGAAAGAAAAAATGTGGATAATGTTTTGATGGATTGCATTAGATATGCAACTGAAAGAGAGAGGCTTAGGAAAGTAATTATGGATAAGGGAGAGAATGGAGCATTAAAGGAATTTTAGGGTCAGATGGAAATAGGAAGGAAATATTGGTTATTAATGAAGCATTATTTTAATTTTTACGTAACACAAAATTTAAACATAGAATATAGTAGGTGGAACTATAGAGCTACACACTCATGTACTAATTAGGTGGCGGTATGTACCTACAAGTTGTTTGCAATCCGCCAATCTAACAAACAAAGAGGGCAATTCAACATCCTATTAGTTTCACAGTTTAAAAAAAAAAGTAAATCGGAGGGAAAGAGTATTATTATAGAACAATTGATGGAAAATGGCAAAAAAAAAAAAAGGTGGGATAAAGAACAATTAGGAAAATGGCTTTATAAAATTCAGAAGATAGTAGGAAAAAGAAGAAATGGAAGAAAAAATAGAAAGGAGGAGTGAGTGATAACAAGGTTAAGATTTGGGCATACAGGACTTAATTATACACTTCTCAAAATTCAAAAGCATACTACTGGCAAATGTGATTACTGTGGAAAATATGAAACCATAGAACATGTTATACTGGAATGTCACAAATATGAAATCAAGAGAAGATATATGAGGAGAGAGTTTGAATGTATTAAGGAAAAGATTAAGTTATTAGATATTTTGAGGAAGAATTTGGGGAGTAAATATATACAAATAATTTTTCGATTTTTAAAGAAAACTAAATTATCTCACAGAATTTGATTATAGAGAGGGTGAATGTGTGTATGATATAGATGGGTAGAATACAAAGTTATGTATAAGTATTTGTTTTTTTTTTTCCTTAGAAATTTTATATATGTTTATTAAGTAGATAGTCCATCACAAGCTAAACTCCATACCACTAAGTGGCGGTAATGCTACTAAATGTTTGTTGCCAACCGCCAATAATTCCAAGAAGAAGAAGAAGACTTTTTGACTTTTAACAACACTTTATTTACACAATTCAACATATCAGCACCATCTCTGGAAGGTGCGGAAGCATCATAGTTAGCCATAGAATCTGAACAGGGTTTAGACTGCTTTGATCCAGTTGAACTTTCAGAGTTAGTAAAACTATTGTCTTCATCTAAGCCTTCAACTTGGATGTTGGATCCAGTTCCAACCAGGTTATTTAAGGAGGTATTCCCTTTGATCTCGTCCTCCATTTTAGATGTGATTAATCTATCTCTGCTACAGGGACCAAAGGCTTTTAAGGTTGCTGTAATTAAACCTTTACTGAAGAAACAATCTCTTGAGCCAGATGATTTGGTCAATTATAAACCTAAAATTATCTAAATCTAAAATTCTTGAGAAAGTAGTTGCCAAACAAGTGTGTGACATCTTACACTATCAGGAACTTTACGAAGAGTTTCAGTCTGGCTTTAGAGCTCATTCTAGCACCGAAAACAGCTCTGGTGAAGGTTGCTAATGAAGTCCTCATGGCCTCTGATAATGGACTTGTATCTGTACTTGTCCGGTTAGATCTAGTGCTGCATTTGATACAGTTGATCATAATATTCTTTTAGAAAGTCTTGAATATTTTTGTAGGAATTAGAGGAACAGCGCTACGCTGGTTTAAATCTTATCTATCTGATCGATTTCAGTTTGTTCACGTTAATGACAAATCTTTCTCATGCTGAACGGTTACCTCTGGAGTACCACAGGGACCAATGCAAGCACCAATTTTCTTAACATATATATATGCTCCCAATTGGTAGAATTGTTAGACAGCATGGAATTAATTTCCACTGTTATACTGATGATCAGCTATATCTGTCTATAAATCCAGATGAATCTAACCATTTTGTATCTCTGCTTCTGTCTTCTTGAACCCTCAGCAGATGGCCGCTCACACTGAGCCTGGTTCTGCTAGAGATTTCTTCCTGTTAAAAGGGAGTTCTTCCTCTCCACTGTTGCTACAAGCATGCTTAGTGTAAGGGATTGCCTTCGAGTCAATGAGTCGATACAATCAATTGGTCTTCCTTAGATAGAAAACTTTTATTCAATCTGACTGTTTAATCTGGTGAACTGTAAAGTGCCTTAAATTGAATTGATGGTGGCCAAAAGTTTGAGACTAAAATGTTTTTGAGTCTCCTACTTCATAGTTCTTTTATAATGGCAACATGCATATAGTCTAGTTTCCCACAAGGAGTTATTTAATGCCATGCAATCAGTTGCATCAATACTAAAAGCAGAAAGGTCTACCCTGCTTTGTGTTAGCTATACTACATAATGAGTTTGTAGCATTTAAATTGCCTTTTTTTTTTACTCATGCGTGTTAATAAAAACGGGTTAGGATATATTTCTCTCACTTTGACTAAATCTGAGAAATCAGAAAGTCTATTTAAAGGAGAGAGGTGCATGCCATTTTTGGCATATGCCGTCATTATGTATTTGATAAAAATAAAAAATAAAATGGTTTTAGAGTCAAGAATTTCTTTTCTAGCAGCATTGCACCACCATCAACCATCAATTGAATTACGACGAACATCCAGTAGATAGTCACAACAAAAAAGCCAAAGACGTCCAGGATTTTTAAGTTTTTGCCTGTGCAGAGCTTGCTCGGGAATCCAGCAGGTGGATGAGGGTATTTCTAAAATTAAAAAGTAATTCAGAGACAATTTGATGTTGATCTGGTGTTGTGAGAGCAACAAACAAGCAGTCTCTTTGGAAAAACAAAAACTTCTGGGACAGACTGACATCTGCTAAATGTAACTGGATCAGAATGCAGAAGACTTTGGTAAACCTTACAGATGCTTTCAGCGACCATTCACTTAATCTGCTAATTCTGCTTCTGATACAGCGCTGATGGAACACCATGACAACCCACTATGTATGTTTTTATATTACACTCATATTCATACGCAACAGTTGCTGTTAGTCCTTGGGATTTTATTATATCTGTTAGTACAAAGTCAGCTCCAACATAACTTATAACAGCACTTGAAACTAAGAGGACCTCAAGCTCAAGATTACAAATCTGGCATTTTATCCTCCTGAAAAAAAATACGGCAACATTGACTCTGGCAGTGATGTGCTGCTCTGACTTTCATGTCCCCTTGGTACAAAATCAACATTTATAGGAACTATAACCTGAAAAGGAATTAAAAAAACAAAAACAGATTTAACTCCAAAATAATGCGATTGACAATCACAGTTAAATTAACTAATATGTGGAAAGAGTGAAGAACAATGAACGCATTCTAAAAACTTCAGTGTTAGGGATGTATGAATGTAATTGCATGGACATAATGCTAGTATTCCGATATTGAAATATTTATATGATGCCTTTATATAAAATGTAATCAGAGTAAATGTGGAAAGTTAAGAAAAGATGCACGTAAATACTGTAACAGAACTGATGCACAGTTGCAAAATGAATTAGGATATAGGATTGTTCTTACTGCTACTTTTCATTCAAGATGCATTGTTTTGGGAGTGTGCATAATGTTATGTACATGAACTTTAAAGTTATAAAGTTTTTTTAATGAATGAAATTAACAACTTTCTAAATACAGAAAATGCTTCTGTCAAGCTACATCTAATCAAAGCATGTTTTTAACAGTCTGTTTAGCATCTAAAGCTATGTTGCCCATGCAGGTTTTCATGCTTTATGCCAAAACTGGTGTACAAGGGAGCAAGAGCCATACAGAGATAAATAAAACTTGTAAATAAGTGTACAGTATCTTCCGCTGTGCTGCTCCTTATGCCTGGAGACCTTATCTTTGTTTAAGAGTTTTGTAAGCACAAAGAATATGTCCATTAAATGATAAATATAACTGCACCTAAAGTTCAATTGAATCACCAGACTCAGTTTATGAAACATACAAAATCAGTAGTAACTTAAACTCAACATATGTATTCTTGTATTAAATTACCGCAAGGGAGCAAAAGTTTATTTTGATCAAACTACCTATACAGTGACTTCTATCCTTATTACAAAGATCTGAATCTACATATCCAGCATCTTAAATGAAAATAAGTGCACAGGTTCTCCTTCCACTTCCTCTCTTCCCCTGATCTTCATTATTCAGACATTAGCCATCTAATCTGTAAAACTAAACTTTTGCCCACCAAAAGTTTAGTTTGAATGGCTCTTAAGGCATATTTGTCTCATTGACATTCTTGTTGGAGCCCATCTTGTTGCTGTCCAACATGTCCGTTTTCACCTGACCCAGCGTTTGCAGCAGGCACATTGTGTCAAAGCCCTCATCACCAGTCTGCTGCAACAACTCCAGTACCTGTACAGGAGAAATAGAACTGATTTGTTAAAATAAACAAATAAATCTAGCAGCTACTAATAGCTTTACAGGAACTCGCCTGCAGACACTTGAAGGACTTGAGTTGACTCAGGTTCTCCTTAAGGAACAGGAGGTAGATGCTGAGGTCATTGTAGACTGGTTTAACTTCACCCAGGGCACCGAATCCAGGTAGCATCTCATAGGGTCGGAGAAAACCAGAGCCCTGTTGCCCCGGTCCCAGAGCCGCGTACACCACCAGAGGAGCGAGAAGTACGTACACGCTCAGGTTGATGTAGCTGAGCAGCCGGAAGATGCCCACTGCTACCAGCTTGCACTGAACGGCAGATGGCACCCCGCTGTCGTTCTTCAGCACACCTGTCCGCAGGTCGCAGGGAAACTCGTCAGTGAGCGAAGCCACAAAGATGTAGTAACCGAGGTAGAGGCACGCCAGCAGGAGGATGAGCAGTGTCAGGCCCCGACATGCCATGTATTTGACCACAAGGCTGCAGGAGGTGCGCTTGGTCTTTAGGTACTGTTCTACAAGAGGGTATTTAAAGCAGCCCTCAGCCAGGTCCAAAGCACTGCAGCAGGGAAAAGGAGCAGCTGCATAAAGCATAAGACTGACGTTTGCATTAAATGTAATATAGCAACGAAACAACAAACCGTAACAACTGGATACCATATCTACTAAGCACCCTCCTTGCTAAGTATTCCTTAGAATAACAAACCTTTTTTATCTGACTTTCCGTAAAAATTCAAGAAATCCACTGGACTTGGTTTTCAAGATTTGAAGACGTTTCGCCACCTCTCCAGGAAGCTTTCTCAATTCAAATGTTATCTGACCTTTATGTGACAGATCAACAACTACTAAACATTAAAGTGAAGGGGTTTTTCACAGAACAAAAAAAAAAGACTTGTATTTGTATTCTAACACGTACCACCTTCTTAATTTTTCCACATCTGACAGAAAAATGGCTTTAGTTTTCACCCATTAGTAATAAATGTGTAAAAGTATAGTTGATCTGAAAAGTATGTGCGTGATGGTGTAAGTGCATGTGAGAAGCACCCATGGTGACAATGTAGGATTCTGGAGAATCTCCTGCTCAGGAGAGGAAATTTTACTGACAGGACCGTTTGTTGTGTGCTCCACAAACCCAACTTTTAAACGATAACTTCTTGTTGAAAGAAAGCCATAAGACGTCTGGTTTGCAGTTTGTACCAAACAATGTATGCAGTGTGCAGAAAACAGTTGAAAGAAGGCGCTTTGGTCAAATTATACCAAAACTAATCTTTTTTGGAAAATACTATTTTTAGAAGACCTAAAGCCAACACTTGTGGTTCACCATAAAAACATAATCCTCATGGTGGTGGCAACATCATGCAATGCTTTGCAATGTGCTGGAAATGTATACTCAGCCACTGCTACACCCGGAACACAGCTTCCCTATCATGAAACATGGTGGTGGCAGCATCATGCCTGGGAATCCTTTATTTCAGTAGGCATGGGGAAACTAGTCACACTTCGTGGAAAGAAGGATGACATAAATTCTGGTGGGAGAAAACCCACTAGAGGCAGAAAAGACAATAGTATGCATGGTAAGAATTTGTTTTTAGTTGTACAAATACCCCAAAATACCCCAGATTTACAACAGTGAAAAGAGGTTATAATAAGAATTGGCTCTTAGGAGCTGCATGCAATGCAAACTTAAAATGTTACGTTTTTTATTTACAAACGACAACTATTTCGACTTTCATCACAACTATGCAGTACTTTGTGTTGGTCTGTCACATAAAATCCATTTGAAACACAATGATTTCTATGGGTTAGCATCAGGTTACCAACGCTTGTATTTTATCTACCTCTGGTTGCCCTGCGCTGCATCCTTGTCATCTAAAGATGCCAGATTTTTGGCCAGTTTTATGGTGCGGTTATAAAATCGATCCAACTCCTCCATAATGAAGCTGAGGTCAGACGACAGGTGAGGAGCTGCAGTGAAACTCCAGAGCACAGCAGGAACCGACATCAGGATGGCAATGAGGAGAAGGACATAGGGGTAGAACTGAGACGGCCAGAGAAAAAACAACAGGAGAGTAGAATTATACTAAACAAAGAGTAACTCCATTTTTATTTATTTTTTCTTAAAGTCTTGGATTTATTCACCCTTGCCTCATCTTATACAGTAAGATATATCTAAACATCTTATGAAGGTCTTCAAATGTGGTTAAAGCATGTTATACATTCGCTAATGCTGATGTCATGCAAACTTAGACTTAGACTAGACTTGTTAGACTGTTTCATGGAGCATAAGCAGTTTAATTTTTACTTCAGTTTCTTGGGTCAAATCTGACTTCATAGTTCTGCTTTAGCTCTTTACCTTATGCAGCCAAAGTGTTGAACTGTCACCCTGGTCCTGCACTGCAGCCCAACAAAAAGAGTCCACATATGCCCCTTGTCTCATAGAAAAGTTGGTGGGAGCAAAGCAGCTGATCTGAGTCCCTGGGAGAGGAAAACAGTGAATCAGAGCAGGTGGAGATTTGGTTCAAAAGATCAAATGAAGAAAACAAGATTTTACCAGTAATCATTAGTCTTCTCTGTTTTCTACTCATGGCCTAAGTCTTTTTACTGAGCTGTTTGTCGCATTCTTAGTCCTTAAAATTGGACCCAGTCCTTTTATAGTGAATACAAGAGAACAAAGCCTGACCCAGATATTCACAAATTTTGATGTAGACTGCCAATGTTTATTAGACTCCAGGTCCATGGCTGTACCAGAACTTTGATTCAAAATATTTATGAATATCATTTAATTTTCTATACATATTTCATACTTTAGACTGATCACACTGGACAACACAGAGATGCGAGTCAATAGCATCTCTGTAAATGTGTACACCCACAAATCCATTATCAATTAGTCCATCCATCCATCCATCCATCCATCCATCCATCCATCCATCCATCCATCCATCCATCCATCCATTTATCTGTTCATCCATCCATTTATTTGTCTTTCCATCCATCCATCCATTAGTCTGCCTGTCCATCCATTCATCCATCCATTAATTAGTCTGTCCATCCATCCATCCATTTATTCCTTAGTCTGTCCATCCAATCATTCATTGATCTGTCCATCCGTCTGTCCATCCATCCATTAATTCATTAGTCTGTCCATCCATTTATTCATTGATCTGTCCATCCGTCTGTCCATCCATCCATTAATTCATTAGTCTGTCCATCCATTTATTCATTGATCTGTCCATCCGTCTGTCCATCTATTCATTCATTGGTCTATCAATCCATCGTTGTCAGTTTATACATCCATTAGACTGTCAACCCTTCAATTAGTCCATCCATCAATATATCCATAATCTACGAGCAGAGATAATATAATTATAGTAAAAGTTGTCAACAGAGTATGAAATGTGCATCTCTATCTTTTATATCTTTAAAAAAAATAACCTATTTCTATTCAATCAAGTAAATGAAAATTACAAATGTTCACAAGGAAGGCTATCATTTCAATCTGACTAAGTCTAAATCGATTCATCTATGTGCCACATCTTTTGAGAGCAGTCTTTGGCACTTTGACCAAGTAATGGATTTTGACCGCATCACATCTTATCCATTAACGGACAAATCAGCCTGCTGGAGATCTGGTAATAGTTCCATCCTGATTGTTCTACTATCTGGTTTGTCTTTTATCAGAAAAGAAGATGAAATGTTAAATACTGAGTTGAATACACTGTTTATTCCTTTTAGCACAAATTGTGTCTGTTTGTATGGTTCACTGTACAATTTTCTAATCTAAAATAAGTTTTATAATTAGAAGAAAGAAAATATTCCATTGAAAGTTTTTTTGTGTGATTATGAGAAGGGTGGAGACCAAAAACCACACCTTCTCACACTACTGTTTCAGCTGATAACACCTATTCATTGCTTCTGTTTACAGCTTATAACCATTTGGATCTATCTGTTTTATTCAAACATTTATATAGATCTTATTATCTTCCAGGGTGGAATGTTTCAAAATGCATCAACTCACCCACAGAAACCTCCTGAGCAAAGGCGAGCGAAATGAGAAACAAAGGCAGACCCGCCGCTAGAAACGTGACTATTTTATCCACAGCCAGCTCCAGACGGACTCCTTTGTATTTTCTCTCTGTAGCATCCTTCAACAAAAAGTCCGAAAACACGTACTCTGTGGCAACAGAGGCGATCGCCATGAGGGTCGCAGACAAAAAGCTGTGAGGCAGATGGAGGAGCTACTCTGTTTTTAAAATAAATATAAATCAATCTCACACAATCTCACTTTTCGTCCCGTTAAGAAGGAAAGCACATAGGAAAAAATTCAATTATTATTATCTAAAGCACGGAATGACTCTATTGTTCATAGAGCTCCTTTCACGGCGCTGAATGATGCATTAACCTGCTGCTGTCCCGTTACTGAATTAGACCCCAAGGTTGTTCTGCCTGGGAGCCACCAGAGGGCGCCATTGTTTTCTTAAGTGCATTTGATCCTACCATAGTCCTGTATAAAGCATTATGACACCAGATCAATACATATTTAATTATTTAATAAAAAAAAGAAGCAGGAAATACATTGAATAATTAAAAACAAATATATTAAATTCAATGAATGTTTATATGGAAGAAGAATAATTTACTTCAATATATTTAAATGTCTATGTTTTGTTTTGCAACACTTTAAACCCAATCTGATTTTTTAATATATAAAGAAATTACTTTATCAGTCTCTGTGTCACATAAAGGGACCCTAAAATAATGGAATGAGTAATTTAATATTAGGCAAATTACAGTGAACACAGAATTTAAATTATGTGATTTCATATTTTGTTTTTCATTTAAGGAATAAAAAAAAAAAAAACCCGTAAACATGTACATGTAGAGCCAGGAAATCTCCAGTGTATGGTGTTATCAGGACATTAGGACCTTGAGCAATGTTTCAAAAAATCTTATTGAATATAAGAGCCATCAGAAATTAAAAATAAGTATAGATCGAAGAGATTTCAACTCAGTGCAAGGAAGGTTCTTTTAAAGTAGCTTGTAAGTGTATCAACCACAATATGCAGTTCCATTATCTATAGTATCTTCTTCCTCAGCCACGCCTTGCTGAAATGAAAACCTCAACAAGAGAAGCTTAGAACAGCTCACTGTAGAAAGCTTGAAATCTTAAATTATTAATAATGAGATCATAAAGATGATGTGGATGTTGAAGATTTAATACAGCTGTAGTGAATATTCAGTTATCAAAAGTAATGTGTTTAACAATGTAAGGCACAAAACAGATAAATAAAAGTTCAAATCAAGAAAAAAATTATGAAAACAAAGCCAGAAAAAAAAGTAAGAAGAGCAAACAAACAAATACAACAAAGTTTAGATAACGCTATTTAAAAAAATGACACATAATGTCAGTAAGAAACTTGGCATATTGGGAACAAGTACATGCCATCTATTTCTGAAAAAGTTTGAGCCATTCATGCCACAAAAACATTAGGAGTTTTGAATGACTGGCTTCATTGATTTGGATCTTGACTTTTTGTTCAGCAAAATTGGACTGAACTGATCTGAAGTAATTTAAAAGAAGCATATTTGGATTTAATTCTGGACTTTGACAAAGCTATTACCTGCTTCTTAACCTGAATCTGGGAATTTGGGTTATGACATTTGCCATCAGAAATGTATTATGAAATCTGCAATATTATTATTATTAGTAGTAATATTAGTATGATTTATAGAATAACAGTATTCTATAAATATAATACAATTCTACAAGAGCACTCTCATGATCATGCAGGTCCTAAGGCAATCCCCACCGGGTTTGACCGTCAGCATCATGTTTGTTTGTTGGTTTGTTTTCCCCTTTATTCTGTTTTCTTTTCCCTACAGTGCATTAGATGATGCTCTGATGGCTTTTGGAATCTCCCAAATGAGCAGACAATCTGCTCTTTGAGTCATTTTGGTAGACCACTACAAGAACCATGACCACTGCTATTTCTTTTAAGTTTTCTTATTATAATATTATATCTACTGAAGAGGATTAGGGCTACTGGAAAAATAAAAAAAGTTAACTGATTATTAAATATAATTTCAGTGTAATATGGGGGAAAAAAATCTGAATTCTGACTTTTTTCTCAGAATTCTGACTTAAATCTCATAATTTTGGATCTTAATGTAGATGGGCACCATGAAGGAAGAGATGTGGGAGCCCTCAGCTTCACTGACAAAGATTTGAGTTGTTTGGAAGGGCCAGTGACACATTGGTGGAAAATGACGGAATTAGGTGACTTTTTACATGCCCCAGGGGCCCCTGGTTGTACTATTTCATTAATGGAAGAGCAGAAGGTGATTAAAACAAGAGAGCTAGTTCAGTCTTTAAAACAGACATGACTACGTCTTAATGCTAACACATTTGTTAGCTGTCAGAATTCAGTCAGAATTCTGAGGTTAAAGTCAGAATTCTGAGAAAAAGTCAGAATTCTGAGAATAAAGTCAGAATTCTAAGAAAAAAAGTCAAAATTCTGACATTAAAGTCAAAATTCTGACTTTTTCTCATATTATACTGAAATAAAATTAAAAAATCAGGTATGTAAGATATGTCGCCTTATATTTCATTGTGGTTTATGAAAGTCCTGAAACCTTTGGAATCTCTTTGTAAGTCTAAAGATATTTGTTCTGATCTGTTCTGTTCTTGAATCATCCAGGTGATTTTAAGAAAACAAATATCACATTAAAGTAATCAGGCTTATGAATTATTAAACCATGAAGCAGCTTTTCTGCAAAACTTAAAGAAAGGTTATTTTCTTTATTTCAGAAATATTACGAAAGAAGAAGCCTGTCATAATGTATAATTTAGGGTTTAAGAGATATTGATATAGTTTAACGATCTAAATTACCTAAATAATCAACGGCTGTAAGACTACGTAACCATAGTAACAATTTCAGTTTTACTCTAAATCCTACGATTTTCTACTATTTGTCGATAAACAGTTGTCTACATCATCATTATTATTGCGACAACCTATATAATAATAATTTAAATGGTTTAAAATAAGCCCATCTTGTGTCTTTTATATCAACCGTATCTCCCATATATTGTGGTGAATGGTCGAAAATTAGTACCGTCGAAATTGAACAAAACAACACAATTCACGACAGTCGCATCGTTTTCTGGCAATGGTCGGTTACAAAAAGGTGCACGGCATTTGTAGGGAGAACAACACAGGTACACGGTTCTAAGGGGAGGATGTAAGAGGCTAAACTTTCGCAGGTACATGTTTGAGGGTTTTTTGTTTTGTTTTTTAGAGTGGCTTTGTATTTGAAATATGTTAACTTCTTATAAACTGTAACGAACGACCGCTTTCTACATATGTCTAAAGGGGGTTGTAGATTGTTACTCTGTCGTTAGCCACAAAAGGCTACAAACAGCTGAGTTAAATAAGTACTTTTGGTTTGGTTGTTTCCTGTATTACTAGTTAACCTAAACATCTTGTAACGACAAAATTCAACAAAGACAATCATAAAGTCTGCTAGCTTGAAGCTAACCTGAATTGTTCTTCCTTAAATGGTTCCCTTAAGTTAAAAAGTTGGATTTGGCTTTGATGTTTTGTTAGCACTGTCGACACCAAAGTCCTTACAGTGAACTTTTATCAGTCGATATGAACACTTTATCCACATCTGTTTTCTTAAACGGGTCACAGTGAACTGCAAACATTTAGCTGGTTTTATAACATAACTGCCAGTGGAAATGATCAGTTTCATATAATCTGCACAGGGAAGCATGAGAGAGAAGAAGGACGAGAGCATGGTGAAAGGCCCATGGTGTTTGTGTGATGGATGGCGTAAGGAAGGAGAGATCCGCAGACTGCTCTAGAACAGGTCCGATTCACCCCAAAGCAGATGTCTCCAGCCTTCAGTGGAAACCCAAACACTCCTCCTCAAATGAGACGACCTCCTTTCACCAGAACTATAAAGGTGTACGTATTCTCACCTATACACTCAAAGTTCTTATATTAAAATATGATCTAAAAGGACCAGGTCTGGGAATGTTTGAGTAAACAAACTAATTTCAGATTCTTTTTTAGACCACTTTTAGAAAGTTGAATGCAGGTCGTTGTACAAGTCCTGAGATTCTCCATGTAATGAGTACTGCTTTGATAAGCACTGTTGGTTGATCACTATGCAAGAAGTGAAGAGACGTGTCAGTACAGGCCATAGAAGAGGAGGGAGTTCTATCTTATTTTGGCCGCTGATACCAGATAGTCTTGGTTTAATACGCAATTATCCGCCATCTTCTTCAGGCATATGTAGACAACAGCTTTAACCTTACAGGGATCCATGGACAGTGCAGATAACGTGGTTTACTGTTGTTGTGACCATTGATCCACTATTAACTTGTTCCTGACAGCAAAGTGTACTTTAAACAAATCATTCCCTACAAACAAGGCTTTTAATTTGACTGAAGCCTTTTGTGAGTTTAATTAGGATTAATATAGACTGTAGCCACTTAGGCTGGGAATTCTAGTTAAATTAATTGTCACATCCCCAAAAGTACAGATGTTTAGTTTTTTTTTTGTAATTCACATTACATTTGTAATTGGATTTTAATCTGTTTTGGTTCAAGTTTTAGAGCAGATTTTTGTTTTTCATAATTTATGAGGGTCTTGCATTTAAAGCAACACTGTTTAAATTTTGATCCCAACGTTGTTGTGTAGTATACAAGAGATGAGGAGGGCCGCTGACGAGGCCTGATTAGCCTCTCATGGTTGCCCTCCATACATACAGTCGGATAAAAACAAACGTGTTTGAAATCCAGTTGGCCCTCTTGATGTGATCATGATTGTATCCTGCTGTTAGAGAAAAGCTCAGAGCCAACTTATCTCAACCTCATGCACCGTGTGTGTGCGAATAAGGGAATTATTTTTTTCTCTGACTTAACCTCTGGATGGACCAGTCCGACCCCATCTCTCTCTCTATGGGACTATGTCCGATCTGTGGTTTGTGGGATATGTGTCCAACTCTACTACATCCAGGCCCACTGGTGCGGCGACTACAAATCTGATATCTGTATTAATGGTACTGCTGCTGAACCTCCCTAGAAATGAACTTGGCACATAGAATAGTAGTAAGTAGTTCGGCATCCACTCTTTGCTTGCTCTGTGAGTAAACGTCACGGTTTCTAGGCGACAAAGCTTACGATGAGCTTACCTGTTTGAATCCATAGCTGAACAGTCTGGCCTGCTCATCTTCACAGCCTCCGAGGACCCAGTCTAGGTCGGCTGGCTTCTTATGGAAGAAGAATTTGCTGAAATCGAACGCAGCCAATGTTTACGGTCGATACCGCAAAAACTCTTAATTAGATGAACTACTACAGTGTCTAAAAGGTATCCTCACTGAGTGATGCACAAATGAAGAATTCAGTCCTCACGTAGAAAAACAAATTATTTGTGCTGAAAATTACATTTTGAAAAAGCTGGGTATTTTGAATAATGTTTTTTTCAGCATCAATATATTTCAATGAAAGTATTACAAAAATTCAGAAATTGTTGTGAAAGTAAATATTTCTATTTATTTTTTATTTTGCATCAATATGTATCACTGAAATAATAAATTAATATATTCAGATGTTGTGAACAGATAACGTTTTTTCAAATAAATCTTTATTTCTACATTATTAAATCTTTTTTGATACTGATTTTACTTCAAAGAGTTGGGCATATATAACCCATTTGAGAAGCATCATTCATCAGATAATAACATTGGAGACAAACCTGGAATTTATAGGTCTCTTGTGCCCTAGTAGCTAAATGTTAGTGTTTCCCTAAATGTGTAGTTAGAAAAATAAATGCATTTGAATCCAATAGATTTTTAGAATTTTGAAATGGGAAATAAAATTTAAAGGGATCATAAAATGTGCATGTTTTTTTGATATTTCAGAACATTTCCATGGAAAACCACAAGGCTGTACCTGACCTGAAGGATGTCCCCCCACCTCCTCCTCCTCTTCCTCCTTATCCCTCTACATCCCAGCTATCCCAGCCCTTTCCTTTGATACCTTTGCCCCTGCCTCCTGCCTGCTTGCCACCTTCCCTGCAGCTAACACAAGATACCCACCAACAACATCCGCCATCAAAACAGCAACAGCAAGGGCTTAGCCCCAAAGTAAGCATTTGCACCCAATGTGACTACTGTAGCACAGACAGCTATGGCTTATTGGGTGGCAGAGGTGTTGTAAGCAGCAGTATTTGTACACCACAGACAGCATCAGGCTTTCTGGGAACACCAGGCAGCAGTAGTAGCAGATTAGAGCTGTGCTCTTTAGCTCCACCTATCCGTTGCTATAATAACCTAAGCTGTGGTGGAAGTGAGGCGTTTGATCCCTTGCTCCCGCTTGGTTGCAAACCTCAGTTGCCTTCTTCTGTGGCTACCTCTCAACCTCTTTCCCTTCAACCTTGCCTACCATGCTGCTCAGGACCTCTTCACCCCTGCTCAGCTTTACCTCCTTCACTCAGTCAGTCCAGCACATTTCCCTCTTCTGCACCCCTTTCCTCTGTCACCTCTCCACCTGCTCCTGGGAAAGACTCGTGTGTGGTTTCCTCTGGCTTTTACACCTGCGGTGTGGACTGCCACACATCAACAAGGACATTCCAAACAAGTGCACTCGGTGATCAGCCCAGCATCACAGCCGTCACAAGTTCAACCAGCTCAACACACTTCACCTCTAGTCCTATGCTCCAGAATGTAAAACACACAGTTTGTCGGAATGCGGCACACTTCTGCCAGGAGTGCTTGTTAAAGGTTTGTCTGGTTCACTTTATTTCACTTTGACTTCCTTGGACTCTTATCCCAAGATGATGTGAAAATCAGAATGAAATGTTACATTTCTGTCTGTCCATACCTCAGTTTTCCTGCTGTGTTTTTTTCTTTTAGCCAAAACCTGGTCCAATTTCAGAATCCAAGTTGTGGCCCAATGTTCCTCCGCCTCCAGCTTCTTCCATCCCTCTTCCCATTTGTAATGGCTGTGGAACATTGTCTGATGGCATGATACTCGTGCCATCCACCAACCATGGCAAGAGCGGCTGTAAATATGGTTAGCGAACATGACAATATAATATCCAACTGTTGTTCTGCTTCTTATTGAGATTTCCTCTCAGATGGACTAATAACGACGTGCTTCCATTGCTGTTTTGTATGGTTCAGAGAACAGTGGTCCTGAAAGTATGCCTCCTGTTGGTGTCTTCTGGGACATTGAAAATTGCAGTGTGCCCAGTGGTCGCTCTGCTGAAGCCGTGGTGCAGAGGATTCGCAGCTGGTTCTTCCAGGGACACCGAGAAGCAGAGTTCATCTGTGTCTGTGATATCAGCAAGGAGAGTAAAGCTGTCATCCAAGAGCTCAATAACTGCCAGGTATCTACAGGAGTTACAGTTCCCAACATGCCTTGGTTATGTGCATTGTTTTTCTGAACTACTCGTGGCACTGGAACCTTTATTAATTACCACACGCTTAAGGCTTTGTTGTTGTGGTTTACATATTACATATGTTTACAGGAATAGCTGTTATTCCAACGTTGACTCCCTCCATACTGTATCAAGTAATCAGCTTATATTTTTGTCTTCCAAAAAGCAAGAAACACGTTTGTTTTTAAATTAAAAACCAGATTTGTGGCTACCAGGACTTGATGTTTTTGTGTCGACTTGATCTCTCTGATGCTTGTTTGCTTTTTATATTTTCTAACAAGTCTATTTTCTGATTAGGTGGCTTGAGTAAAGTTTTATTTTAATATATATTCATTTGGATTTCCATCAGGTCACAGTCGCTCATATTAATGCCACTGCAAAGAATGCTGCTGATGATAAACTTCGCCAGAGCCTAAGACGATTCGCTGACACACACACTGCACCTGCAACTGTCATACTGGTGTCCTGTGAGCTGCTTTGTTTTTTTTTTTTTGTTTTTTTTTTAACCAAAAATCACTTGAATCTGCTGTATGGAATCATTTTAAATATATTTAGTAAGGTTGTAATTTCCTCTTTCAACAGCTGATGTGAATTTTGCCAGCGAGCTGAGTGATCTGCGCCATCGCCACGGATTCAGAGTGATTCTGATCCATGGCAGCCACACGTCTTCCTCTCTGCTGCAGCACGCCCACCGCCATGTACCCTTTCAGCAAATTACCGCTGATCTGCCTCAGCGTTTGTTCATCAAATCGCAGGTAAGCCTCGGTATCATATGTTAAAGCCTCGAAGGCCTCTTTTTTTTTTTTTTTTTTTTTTTTTAAGCCTTGTTGTATCTAATGAGGTGAGTTGGTTCTCACCCAGATTAAATATAGGAGAAATTTATTTTTTGGATGGGATGTTGTAGAAAAGCAGAAGATGAATCGGTTTTATTTTCTTGCAGACATTATTGATCTGCAGTGCTCGTTAAAGTTTTTCATTACACAGCTTCTGGCAAACCAACAATTTGCTAGAAGCTGTGTAGAAGATCCAGCAAGCAATTTGAAGAAGGTTCTCTGGTTAGATAAGACAAACGTTTAGCCCTTTGGCTTGCATTCAAAATGTTTTGTGTTTGGGGAAACTTGCAGTGAACTCCAGCCTTAATCCATTGTTCCTACTAAAAGGTGGTGGCAGGATTGCCTCTATGTGGCAACGCTTTCCTTTAGTTGAAGGAGAGAAAATGGTTAAGCTTAAGGGGAAGATCAGGAAACTGTGGTGGGAAAAACAGGTTGGAAGTTGGGAAACCCTCTGGTTTAAGTTTGCATTAAAGCAGCACAGCAAGTTAAAAGTTGAAAGCTTTTTCATATGTTAGAATGGCCTAGTCAAAGTCCAATCTTGAATCCAAAAACCAGTCCTTGGCAGTAGTAGAAAACTAGTGTTTATTCAGTCTGACTGCGGTTGAGTTAAATCTAGATGATGCAATACAATGAAGTTGTAATGTGTTGTAGATAAAGTTCCAGGTGAGTTAAACGCTCAGAGTCCCGGTTACGGCTTTAGGCAACTTAACATATTAAGTTCTAGCAAACAACAAAGTGATCTGTTTGAACTATTCCTTTAGAGTCTTTTGTCTTTGTGGCCATAATATAGCTGTTTGTTAAAGTTGAGATGAATAAACTATCGGGTTAAGAAATGGTTTCACTCGGCTTGATTAAAGCTACCCTGTTTTTAAATCGTTCAAACCAGACAGGCACCATGTCTTTTCCTCCCCTCCCTCAGCCCAGTGTCAGCTTCCTCTATGTGCACAACCTCCCAGTCATCTCTGACAAGACCCTGCAGAATGCTGTGAAGCTCAGGCTTCGCCGCCTGTCAGACAACTGTGGCGGCAAAGTGCAGAGTATGTCCCAGGGTACAGCAGTCCTCCGTTTTGGCAGCCAGGAGGCGGCTGCTCGGGCCCGCAAACGAATGGATAACGAGGATGTGTTTGGCTACAGAATCAGCCTCTCTTTCTCACCGAGGACCAGAGACGATGTTGGTTCTGAGCCTCAGCTTCAGACTGAGCCCCGGCCCTTCCAAACCAAGGTGTCTGTGCTTGCCCCTTTCCCATCCATATCTTCCTCCTCTTTCCTGCCCCTGGAGAAGCCAAGATCACCCAGGAGGCCACGGCGAGCCACCCGCCCCTTTGCTGCCTCTGGGCTGGTGCCAGAGAGGCCCTACAGCCCCAGGAGGGGTTCCAGTGGGCCTCCCGGCGGTGCTCCAGCCAAACCGCTTCAGGTCAGCAGACTCCTCCATGCCTGCCACCCTCCAACATCTCCTTGTCTGGGCTGCCTTGTAAATCGCAGTAGCTTGTCTTCCCCTCAGTGTTCTTGTGATTGCTGCTTTAACTAACAGCTTGTTGCTGCATGCTCGCCTTCATACGTCTGCCTCTGCTAGCTATGAGCAGTAGAGTCTGTCGACTACCCTGCATGTTCATTGATCATATAACAGCTGCTGCATTGCTTTAGTGCTTGTGTTTTTTGTTTTGATTTTTTTTTTTACATGAAATCATACTTTTTATTAACTATCTTGTATTTTACATTTTTGTTTTAACCTTTCCTGTTTTTTTTTCCTCATGTTTTTCATGCTGATGCGGGGGCCTTTAACATTTTTTTTTTTCATTTGTTTTCAATCAATTAGAAACCAGTGTGAGAAATTAATCAGAACTGAGTTATTAATGTCTATACTAGGCATGGGCCTTTAAACCATTCATTTTTGAATTTTAAAGAAAAGGTCAAACCAACAAACTGATCGGTACCTGCTTCTTAATATCTTTTCAATAGGATATAAAAATTCCTCTTGACCGTATCGTCTAAATAACAAAACTGCACATCCCTGTTTTTACCTTTGGTGTTCTGTGAAAGTCTTCATCTAATTTCCATACATCCTTAAAAAAAATCCCTAACTTGACCATCTTTATTAATAATTTTTTCTAACAAAAAATATCCTCTGAATCCTGATATTAAAAGCTCTTGTCCTGTTTTTTTGATTTAGGAGACTAATATGGATGGAAAGTCCAGGGTGGGCCTGGCCCACCTGGATAGGGGGCGTGCTGCTTCCTCCTCACCTCAGAGGAGGGAGACAAGAGCATTGGAGGAACAGAGTAAGACTGACCTGACTGGAGAACCCATAGACGATAAGAGGTACACGCAGAGATGGATCACAATCCTTTTATTTGATAACTAGGAATAGCTCTTGTTTTCACACCTTGAACCGGTGTGGGGACTTTTTAATTGCAATATATCTGATTTGTGTTTTTCACAATAAAATCTGAATGACTGTGTGCTTTATTGCTGCTCGCTGATGGCATCAGATGTTTGCTAGAGAGCAGCTTGCATGATGAAAACCAACTGCAGGGGTAAAGTACAGGATTTAAAAGGATGGTTTGATTTCCAAATTGTACCCCTAGCTTGTGCTGATGAAGATTCTCAGTCATCCAGGTCATAGTCATTCTGTAAAAGTAAAAAAAAAATCCACTGGAATTGGTTTCCAAGATTTGAAGACGTTTCGCTTCCCCTCCAGGAAGCTTTCTCAATTAAAATTCAGACATTTGAATTGAAGTCCAGTGGATTGTTTTTTGTTTGTTTTTTTTGTTTTTTTTTTACTTTTATGGAAAGGGGTACCCCTAGCTTGTTTTCCCCTGTTCAATCTATCAGCAATCTTATCTGAAAATCTGCAAAAGTCCAGTATAAACAGCATTTGATGAATGCTTTGTCTAGATAAAACCAAAACTGAACACTTCCTGGAAACTGCTATATGGTGGCAAAGCAACATTTTACTCCACTTCATAATTATATAGTAGTTCATTACATTAATGATTGTAATGTAACTGGTTTTCTAGGATTTTCTTTTGTGTATCACCAGTAGAGATATTGGTGTTAATGTTGAAGTTGTATGCTCAGATTTCCCACAAACTCATTTGGTTGCCTAAAATGCCCCTCCCTTTTTTTTTCTGTTTAAAAGGGAGGGTTCCAGTCCTCGAAGGGTAACCGGCTCACCTGTTACTCAAAGGGTCAGGAGCTCAGAGTTCAAGATTAGCACACCCTCAGCCTTCAGCAAGCTGAATCTGAACAGGAGCTTCAGCCCCATGGTCCCGTCTCAGGGGTCCTGGTCCTCACGGTACTGAAACTGCATGAATATAATTCAACACTTTTATATTAATAAAACTGTTAATGTAAAAATATTGAGTTTATTTTTTTCTACATCTTAATCTTTTCCCTCCTCCAACATAAAGGAGCGGGTCCCCGTGCCTGTCCAGCCGTTCATCCCCTCTGCTTGCAACTGCTCGCAGCTCCTGCTCTGAAGGTCTGTCTCAGCCTTTCTCTGAGGGGACGGAACTCCAGGTAGCCAACCTTGACTACAGAATGTCCCGCAAAGACCTGCAGCAGATACTGCATGACACCTTCTCCCGATATGGACAGGTAAGATTTCCTATTTTGTACAGTTGTGTTGATGACCGCGTTTGGAATTGCAGGTTAGTAAAAAATGTGTTATGCTTCCTGCATTCAAACATTCCTGCGCTGTACCCTCCTTTTATTATGTCTAGGTGAAGGCTGTGGATCTGAGCCCTCACACTGATTATCAGCTGAAGGCCACGGTTCAAATGATGTCCCTGCAGCAAGCCATCAGTGCTGTCAGTGGGCTGCACCGCTATAAGATTGGAAGTAAACGCATCCAGGTGTCTCTGGTAACTGGTGCCAACAACAAATCACTTTCCTTGCTCAGGTACCGTTCATTTCCACATGAGCATGAAATGCAACTGTAGATGTGTTGTTTCAGACGAACCTCTAATGTTCCTTATTACACTTTACAGCACAGAGATAATTTGCATTCTTCAGGATGCTCCTGCTAACTGCCTTCCTCTGTTCAAACTGGCTGAGATCTATGAGAAGAAGTCAGTATTCTTAAATCATGGTATTTAATTTATGTCTAACCTGTAAAGTAACAATATACTTATTGTCTCCTTGTTTTGAAGGTATTTCCGTAAACTCGCCATTGGCGATCTGTACAAGTTATCAGATGTGCTCTCAGTGCGAGAACAGGGAGGCTCCAGACTAGTTTGCCTTCTCCCCAACATCCGAATTCGTCAGAGTCCATTAGGATCTTCTCAGTCCCAGGAAGCCTCGTCCTCTGCAAGTGGGAGTCCTGTTGTGTTTGAGGAACTCGAGTACCACGAGCCTGTTTGCAGACAACATTATGCTAAGCAAGACTTCAGGTAAAGAAACATGTTCATGCAACTGCTTGATCATCCAGACCCATCTGAACCTCCTTAGACCTTTATTCTTCCATGGCAGCAGGTTTTAATGTAGTTTCTGTAAATGTATAACATGTTCGGTTAGTAGGTTACTTTCTTCATAGTCATATCAGTGATGGTCGACTAAAACGTTCTTTTCAGGGCAAAATTTTTTCAGTATACTTACATAAAATAACAGATTCAGGAAAAAGCTGAGATGCATCTATAAACTTTGTGTATTAGCTGTGTAATTTAAATAGCTTTTTTTTTAAGCCAATTATCCTATAGAGCGTTAATTTACTAAAATTACACTTCTAAGTTGTTCTCATTGGGCTAGTTCAACCTACATATGAAGAGAAAGATAGAAGTCTATCCAGTTTAACCAATCCACTACAGTGGTTATCAGAATCCGCAGTACCACAAAGATGGTTATCAACATCATGAATCTTTGAATGCACACACATTAAGGGCTGGGTTCGCGGTGTGTGGGGTGGGTCTAAATGAAAAGTCAAACACGGGGAGCGGCATCAAAGAGATGTCAAATGAAGTGGCAGGGGATTGCTGACTGTAAATGTGAAAGTTACACATCAGTGACATTTCTCTCAAGCATGCATGCATCCCACTGAACTGCGTATTAATAATGTTCCCCTCTGGAGGGAAGAGGACTTTGGGGGGCAGATAAAAATAAAACACTTATACATTATTTAGTCTGGTTAGTTGGACTTTTTAATTCAACAATTTATGGGCTACAATAAAGGTGGAAGCTGATGTCATGATTATATTAATACAAGAAGGGTTTCATCTGAGTGACATTTTTTTTTATTTTATTATTTAAAAAAAATAAAAATTTGTAGGGAAGTCAATTTAAATGTCAAATCCTTCTGGCTTAAACATGTATATAAATGTACTCTAGCAGACGATATTCTCCCAAAATTTAGAAAATTTCTATTTAAAAAAATCCTGTCTTAAACTCTGCAGAGTTATTTCATTAATTTATGCAGACCAGTTAGTTGTACACCTAAATTCTGCCAATCATATATCAATGGTCATCTGTCAATCACATTTTTTCTGTCATGGCATTTTGATTCATATGTCGCAGCTACTATACGCAACGATTGAAATAAGAAATATGAATCATTTACTTTACCATTACCATTGCTCATATAATAGTGATCCAAATTGTCTTCTCAAAGACTTAATGTCAAAAAGGAGGAAAAATAAATTGAAATGAAATGAAAGGGCACATCATTGTTTTCCAAAACAGCTAATTGGCTGCTGGGTGGAGCGTTTTCTAGGATTCAGATCAATCCTGAAGGCTAGCCTGCCCCGGAGCAGGTTTGCCGTTCAGAGTACATTACCATGGTAACTAGCCTCGCTGAGAATAAATCCAGCTTCCTAGTACCAGAAAGTCAGGGTTGAGGTTGAAGCAGGTCGCTAAGCTAGTAATCAAGCTTTGTGGTACTACAATACTAATGCTATTATCAACTATCCCCACAGCATGATGCTGCCTCTACCGTTACATATTGGTCCTTCCTAAAATCAGGCAGGGAGGTTTGGGTTTGTGAATAGTGATGGAAGGCATTGTATAACTGTTGTAGAAAAGCACTTTTACTGAGGGATCTTTCTTTGATTGCAGCGAAGCTGACTTTGACCCTGAATCCTATAAAATACCCTTTGTGGTGATGTCACTGAGCAGTTTGGCCTCTGATGTTCACAGTCTTCTGCAGGTTCATGACGGCACGCTTCCCCTGCTCAGGTAACGACAGAATTCACAAGTTTCGCAGAATGTGTATTTGGGGCACATCAGAATTAATTTTTTTTTTTTTTTTTTTCTGTTTAAATTTCAGCTTTCCTGACTGTTATGCAGCTAAATTTAGCCCTCTGCAAGTCGGAAATGAGATGCTAGAGGGTGCTGTTCCTCTGGAGCATCTGATTACTTGTGTTCCCAGTATCACCATTGTAACAGCTCAGAATGGTTTCAAGGTCATCAAGTGGATCCATAACAAACCACCTGCACAGAACTCTGGTAGGAATAGAAATAATATTGGATTTGTCTCTGGGATTCACACTCTTCACATCAGAGTGTCTGGAAACTTATCAAAAGTATCTTTTTATAAATTTTTTCCTGCAGAGCCATGGATTCAGCGATGCAAGAGTCCAGTTGGCAATCCACAGCTCATCCAGTTTAGCAGAGAGATTATTGACCTGTTGAAGAGTCGGCCATCTTGCCTCATACCAATCAGCAAATTCATACCTTCATACCACCATCACTTTGCCAAACAGTGCCGGGTCTCTGACTACGGCTTCTCAAAGTTACTGGAGCTTCTGGAAGCTGTTCCTCATGTTTTGCAGGTGCTTGTAAGGGAGGGAAAAGAAACTCTCAATAATTTCCCTACACTGCAATTGTTTTAATGCTATATTTTCTTTTATTTTCCAACAGATAATAGGAATGGGTACCAAACGTTTACTGACCCTTACCCACCGAGCACAAGTGAAGCGTTTCACACAAGATCTTCTTAAGTTGCTCAAGTTTCAAGCTAGTAAACAAGTGGCAATCAGGGACTTTATGCAGGCATACCATTGGTCAGTAACCTTTGCAACAACGTCTTCCTTATCTGTAAAAAAAAATAGCTCTGATTACATGGTTGGTACTTTAGATTAACTGTTTACTTTGTCACAGGTGTTTCTCTAGAGACTGGAGGGTAACAGATTATGGGATATGTGACCTGATGGACCTGCTGGCTGAAATCCCAGACACAACAATCACCATCACACACCAGACCACAGACACAGTCATCTCTGTTCCTAAGAGAGGTCAGTGGGAATCCAACCAGTTATTAATTTTGGGGCAATAGAAATGGCTGTTGAAATACCCAAAAATATTTTACTTGGACTGTTTGGAGCAAAGCATCTGTTTCCATTAGATCCTAGCTGTCAAGAGAACAGAAACTGTCAATGTGTGACAACAATGATGGGATATAGAGAGAGGTGGTGAGAAGGCTGAGGGTCAGACCTTTAAGATGAAACATCAGAGTAAGCCTCTATCAATCTAGGTTTTGTTTTCTCATAAATGAGCATCTGAATACCTTGTGCTATTACCACCACCCTCCTGTCCATTATTTTAAAACGCAACAAATATTTTTGAAAAGGTGCTGTGGTCAGATTAGACCAAATCACATCACGCAACAATAGACAAGTTTAAGTGTAAACATATAATCTGTGTCCATTTTCTATGGTTTATTATCTTTGCTGCTCCCAATAGGCCTAATAAATGTTTACAGACATGTTATGAGAGGATTGATTTTCAGTTTGATTCCGTGTAATATGTGCCTAACCTCCATGCGTGCGAAGGAACACTCCCACTGATGGTCACCATTTGCACCAAGTGTTTGATTTAGATTCATTCCTCAGTATACCTTTTCGTTTTAATACCGGAATAGTCTCCTTTTGGGTTTTTTTGTCTCCAAATTTTTTCCACTTGTGTAAGTTTTTATGACTTCCATTTACTGCTTTGTGAAATCTGAATTTCCCATCTGTGAGACGATAAAGGCATTTATTATCTTTGAGCTCAAGCTTTTTGTAGAGAATGACAGGAACCTAGAGGCAAGAAGACTAAATACTAACCCTGCTTTCCTTTTCCAGATAGTTATGTCTAGTAATTGTTATTCCTTTTGTTTGTTTATGTGCTTTCCAGAGCGTACTGCAGAGGAAGTGGAACGAACCAAGCAGTTTGGAAAGGAGGTAGTGGACCTCCTCCGCCATCAGCCACACTGTCGAATGCCGTTCAGCAAGTTCATTCCTACCTACCACCACCACTTCGGTCGTCAGTGCAAGCTCAGCTACTACGGCTTCACAAAGCTCATGGAGCTTTTTGAAGCCATCCCAGACATTCTGATGGTAAGGCAGCAGCGCTGCTCTTTATTTAATGCCATACTTTAGAAACCAGAAATATACTGTGGGCAGAAACGTTTTTAATAAATTGCCTGTTAAACATTTTCTTCCCTTCCCAGGTCTTGGAATGTGGTGAGGAGAAAGTGCTGACTTTAACAGAGGTTGAGCGTATCAAGGCACTGGCAGCCCAACTAGTCAAGCTGCTACGGGCTCAGAAAGATTTCAGTCTGTCCGTCAGCCAGTTTCTCCCAGAGTACAGCAAGACCTTCGGTTATGGTCTCCGTCTTCAGGACTATGACGTAGCGTCGGTGCCCGCTCTGCTGACCAAACTCTGCCATGTTGTCAAGGTAAAAAAAACTAAAAATCTGAAAGCATTTGTTCTAAATCCTAATTTCTGCCGAAATGCAGGGTTAAAAGGGTAGCATCAAGTCCTGCCTATGAGTTCCATGTTCGTATCATATTTGTAACAGATATTTTAGTTTTGTTGATGTGTCCGTGAAGCCAGGGCACCATCCTGTTTACAGTACAGGTGTCAACTGGTGTCTGACCTTGTTGCTCAGATGGTGGACGGCTCTGAGGGTCGCGTAGTGCAGCTGATCAACAGGAAGTCTCTACGTCTGCTGACCTCTCAGCTGTTGGCTCTGCTCATGTCCCAAGAAACTCATCAAGTATCAAAGGGAATGAAGGTGGAGGAGCTGAGCATGCATTACATGAGTATTCATGGAACCCAGCTGAATCCTTGTGAATATGGGTTTCTGTCTCTGAGCGAACTGTTAAAGAGCCTACCTTACCTTGTAGAGGTTGGATTCCAATTTCTTTTCAATACAATTTCTGGTTTTTTCATTTTATTCTGTTCTGCCTAAACAACTAATGGCTAACCATTTTATTCTTTCTTAGTTGTACTTTGAAGAAAATGGTGAAGATTGCAGCTCTGCTGGCGGTCATGGGGTTGAGTGGGTGAGGTTAACCAGGCTTTACCAGTTTGCTCGTAACATTCGGGCGCTGCTCCACACCTACCACTACAACCAGCTCTTCCTGACAGAGTTCCAGGGGGCCTACAGCAAGTTTACAGGCTGCAACCTTGACCCTCGGTTCTATGGGTACAGCACCACTGATGAACTGCTTGGCGCTATTCCTCAGGTCCATGACGATTTTTTTTTTTTTTTCTTTTTGTTCTTTGGGGGCTGTTTGCTATAACATGCTGTTGTGTTTTCAGGTGGTCTGGATCAAAGGACACGGTCATAAGAGGATTATCGTTTTAAAGAACGATATGAAAGGTGAGAGTTTCTGACTGCAGCTGATTTAGGTTCCGTGAAGGGATGTGACAGAAGTCCAGGCTGCATTTTGACCCCTTTTAGAGTGAAAAAGATGTTAGATGAGTGAGAAGAGAACATGGAAACTGTAAAATGATACATTGTTTCTTTTTTGTTTTAGCAAAGCCAAGCTCTTCAGTTCCTAACAGCCCACAACCGGTAGACATGGAGAGTCCGAGGGACAGCCCCATCAGCAGCACATCAGGAACACAAAGTCCAGGTATCACTCACACAAGTGATTAGTTGAAATGCCGTCTATTTTGAATCTGATGGAGTTTCTTATACACTATAATATAAAGGTATAATGGCTTCAATATGTGTGACATAAAACACATACTAGACACAATTCTAGTAGTTCTACTTCTTGCTGTGAAACCAGTTCAGAGTTTCTGTCTTTATAACTGTTGAATTGCTCGTATCAATTGGGTGGTCCATCAGTGCCATATGAGGGATGACCACCCAGACCCTAATCCCACATCCTAACCTCTCTTTTACCATGACGTTTTGCTTCTGAACCATTCTTCCTGCAGCGTGCACCAACGCTGGTTCAAATTCAGACTGTTCTCCAGACATGTCATTGTCTCGTCCAAACCTTCTTTAAACATTCAGCTTAGTTTTTCTTTAGCAGTGGAGTCTTGTGCAATTAATTTTGGAGATTTTTTAAATTGCATTTAATCCATGACTTTGTTTTTATGTGGGGATTCTATCTGCTGTCTCCAGGTCTTCCTCAAGCTTTGCAGTACTTTGACTCTTGAGCAACTCCTCTGCCCCTGACCAAGGCTGATTTGTTGATTGGGATTATCATTTGCAGTGGAGCTCGTTTTGAAAAGTGTAACTTTAGGAGTTATAATTAGTATGTTTTTCAACTGTAAGAAGAAAAGAAGTCATGCATCTCTGTGCAGTACTTTTTGTAATAAACTGCCCTTTTAAATGTCATCAGTTTAATACCTGCACAGATTTTTTTTCAGCTGGTTTCTTTGCCATCTATGCCATTTTTCCATACACTGAACTTCACCCTCTGGATGTTTCTGCATTGATATAATCTGTATGACCATAATTTAGACACTTGAACAAAGGTTTTGTTTTTGCTGACAGGTTGCGATGCTGAATCAGAGCTGCTCCGTCTTACATCACCTGTCGACCTGTTGTGTGGCCCTGTACCGTCCTGCCTGCCGTCCCCCCAGCTCCACCCTGACCCTGTTCTCCTTCAGCAAATGGACCTGATTAACTTTGAGAAAACTCCACCCCCACAACCCTCAGCAGGTCAGTTTGATATTTTTTTTTTTTTTTTCAGTCATGTAAATGTTTGTCCATACCGACATAAAAACTGCCAACATTTGGGGGTTTATTTTGCCTTAGAGCTCGAGTCTGTAGAGGAGGCTGCAGCAGATGGTACCTGTGGTCCTCTGGATCAGTCTGGTGTTGAAGACGATTCACCAGCGCTCCCTGATGAGAAGAACACCTTGTCCATGGACAGTCCTGGCAGAAGAGCCTCACGCAGCAGATTTAAACTAGCTGCCAACTTCTCCTTCACAGCAGGCCTCTGATGAATCCATTTCTTTCCAGTTAAGGACACTCATCAGATAACTCTAAATGCAAGAGTTGACCAGCGTCTAATTGATCACTGCCTTCAACATCTGGACAGGCAGGCTGTTGCGTTAATGTTCTGCTACTCCTAAGCAAGCTTTTTTTCTTGTTTATTGATTTTCACCTAACTATGATGAGATTTTTTTGCAATTCTTTGATTTGCAAACTTATCTGCTGTGTCCTAGCTGTCATCCCAGGAACAGTTGATATAAGACGGCATCCTCAATTTTGAGCCATTGAGAAACTTGAGTTAGTTTTCACTGTATAGTTTCAGTTTGTTAAACTGACACACAGACGGCTTCTAAGATTTGTCAGTGAAACTTTGAAAGTCACTGCTTAAAGACAGGAAAAATTATTCTAAAACCATAATTTCAACCTTTGGAGATCTGACTTGGTTATGATGGTTATTATGAGCAATCCAGCTGATAAATTGATGCCCACTGGAAATCTTTCTGATTTTTATAGTATTTCACCTTCGTATGCTCCCCTGTAACATCTCTGCAGTGTTTTTAGTTCCTTCTAAATTTTGCAGAGTGGCTAATTATCTGTTAAGGAACTTGGGCCTAAACCTGTAGCAGACTGATGAGATGACGTTTTCTCGTTGTTTACCTGCAGCCAGCAGCTATGCATGTTTGAATCTTTTTAGCTGCGTTTCTGCCCCTGTGTGGCTTGCACTGGAGTGGGTAGAATAATATGTGCAACATGTGCATAACTGAGTTTATGCAAGGTGTAACCCCCACTCTAGGAGCAGATGAAAGGAAGACGTTTAAGGTTGGTCTTGATTTCTACCACTAACTACAGATCAGAGCTACCACCCGAGCAGCTGCCATGTAAAGGTTTGTTTTAACCTTTGCCTCTGATGGGCACTGACTCAGTGGTTGAGTATTTGGAGAACAACACACACGCCTGAGTTTTGGGTTTATTTTAAACGGCATAGTGAATGAGTTTTAGAGGAAAGGGGGGCCGTGTGCTGATGGATTTCAGATTCTGGGGGCTCTGAGAAGCCTCTTGCACAGACTGATGCACTCACAGAGGGGCCCTCCGCGCCTCGCTGGAACCTGCCGGGCTTTTACAATGGCTTGTATTTGCCACGGTGCTGAAACACAGTGCCATCATCCACCCCCCCCTTTTGAGGAAGAGTATTTTTACCTTACAGGCGTGTGTTGATCTCTCAGATATTGTTTTTTTCTTCTTTTCCTTTTCACACACTGGCTGCTGGCTGCTAAAATACCTCGAGACGTTGGCGGCGCATGAAATTTGGGGCACATCAGATGTACTGTGAAGCTGCTGTTTGTCTTTATTATAATCCTTTTAGGAAATGGGTCACAGCCTACTGAGTTATGGAGTTCTTTATATTTGTACTGGGATTAGTCTGTTTAATGTACTCTACAGTATATATATTGTTTTTTACTTTGTGTTAATCATTCATCACAAATCAGAAGGTTTTTAAATGTGGCTCTAATTGCTCATTTGTTTTGCAGAGTTTTAGAGACCAGCTAACAGATGAAGGAATCACCACTTCAAAGTAATTGTAAAAAAAAAAAAAAAAAAGCTTAAACAGACCAAAAAACTGTCTATCTACATTTGAATTTAGCCAAAGGACTTAATTTCTTTGTTTGAACTACAGTGACAACTAACTCATGTTATGAAGTCTTTGCTTCCGTTTACTGACGACCCGCCGTACCTGTGAAAATATGCACCTATGCATAGTTTTAGTTGCTGAAATCCATGTTTGAGAAGGTGTTTAACCGAGTTTGTTTCTCCTAGTTATTCTACAAAAGATTTTAAGGAACTTTATTAATTCAACTGTTTCCTTAAAAAGTTGAATTAATAAAGCGTTGTTACCCTGAATGTTTTGTTTACCTGCCTATTAACTGTTAGTGATTTCTCGTCTAGTCCTCTTTCCCTTCCCTCCCTCATCGTTTTGCTGCCTTGCTGCACCAACACTGGTTGCAACAATTCAGTGATGTTGAAGTGACCAAAAAGAATCCATTAAAATTCACGAGCATCTGTTGTTTCTTTGGTACTTTTGTATGTGAACCGGGTTCTAGATGCACATTACTAAGGTAGAAAGTTAAACTTTGCAGAAAGTTAAATAGAAATGTAATGCAGAGGGATGTATATCAACTTTATAGACAACAACACTCAAACTGTGGTTTTTAATCAGCTTCCTTTGCTGCTAAATCATTCATTGATTAAAAATAAGCTGTTGTAAATTTGGTAGTATGGCAGTGTCCAGGTTACACATACAGCAGGGAACTTAAGTAAGGTTTTCTAGACACTGTAGAAGGAAGCATAAAGTGTTGCACAAATCATCACTGCCTGGAAATGTCACTTTTATGTCGCATGCAACATGGATTCTTTGCCCCTTTTCCCCAGACTATAGACTTTTATTATTTTTTTTTTTCAATATAAATAGAAGTTTGGACCGCTGACCAACAGTTTAGTTGTTACTGATGTCCTGATATGCCTGAGCAGTGGCTCTGAAGCAGGAAGTGCAAAAATAAATTCTGCAAAGGACCAAATCATTTGATTCAGGCTCTAAAACTCTGCTTGTGCACCTTTTTCTTAACACACTTTTTCTTTTCACTAAAGTTTTTAATAATTTATTGTAAAGCCCAGTGTGAACAACCAACTCCTTCAGCAGTTTTGCGCCATTCCTTCCTAAGGCTCTCCTTTGCAGTTTGCACATCCGTCAGTCTGTTTCATTCTTTGAACTAAATTACTTAAATAAATGTAAGACATTGTATTAAAAACACATCTGTCCTTTGGCAGAACAAACACAATACAGTTTGTTTTTGAAAGATGCTCTTTATTTAAACATATATTTACAGGTAGTTTCAGCTTATTTTCTGCATATTTGACTTTTTATTAGTAGGACTTTAATAAATTCACTACACTTAACAGGAGAAAGATGTGATAAGAGTGCCTAGCGTCAAGCAAACTGTTGAACTAAGATCCTAAATACACTCAAGCACAAACAGTCTATTTGAGGCATTTACAAGAGCGTCATTCCTTCCCTGGTTAACATACAAACCGAAGATTAAATTTAAAGACTGACTGTGGTTTCAAGTGTTTTATGACCAACGGAAATGAAATGGTACTCTGTTGATTTAGAAGATACTCTGCAGAATGAAGAACAGTGAGAAAATATGACAGAGGCATTTACATGCATCAAACTGGATTTTAGTAATTAAAAAAAAAAACAGTTGCGTCAGACTTCATGACAGTTAGCATTCCTCTGTGTGTTTGCATAAAATAAAAGCACAAAGAGCAGAAAAACACCGACTCATCATCTGGCCATTCATTTTAAGTGATTTACATCTTTAATTAGTCATCAAACTGAGCTGTTTTATGGAAATCATAATTGTGAATTACATGGAAACTAGAAATTAGCAGCTTTTTAGTCATGACCATGGAAACATAAGGTGTTTAGCAGTTATTCATTTTAATATGCCTGTCAGAAAAGAAAATGTACTTTTTATCACTTTAACAATAGAATTTAGATAATTGTGGTTCCCTGATGTAAAATGTTCATTTGAATCCAACATGCCTATCCTGATGCGTTGAATTAACCAGTAATACTAGTTTATTATCTCAAAATAATGACTTCATCATTACATTGTTATAAAACAGCTACAACACAGAAAGATTAAATGAAACATGACTCATCACTTGAAAGCAGAACTCAACCAAGCCCTGATACAAAGATTAAAATTAAGCTTTATTTACTGAACATTATGTGTTAAGCTGAGATGATTAATGATTAAATCCAGAGGAAATAAAACGTGTCATGTCATATGCGTCCCATAACTCTGTAGAGTTTGTACATTGGGGTAATGGGTGTGAAATTCAGTGCATTTGACTAAAGACTGTATTATTAATATTCTTTCCATGTGAAGGATTAAAATGTGAATTTTAGGATTAAAATTTTCTATTCATAGCCCCTCCAAGCTTTCAGTATACAGAGGAGGGTATATCTTCAGCAGTGCAGAGAGAGCATCTGAGTGTTGTAGCAAAAGCTCAAGTAATTGTCTTTTAAAAAGTTATTGGTTCAGAGCTATGAAATTTAACTAACCTATTTATAAATCCTGTATTAGTGGAATATGTTTGCTATGAGAGCCTGGACTAGCTGATCAGCTTGTGTTTTCTATATTATCAGATGCAATAAGTTATGTAAATACAAAAGGTGCATCAAACAACAACTCTATTAAAGGATGGGAAAAAACTGCCATACAAACTAAACTATTCCTAGTGAAAAGAGGAAGAATTAACTGTCAATGGACATTTTTTTTTTGTTATTTTATTTTGTTTGTTTCAGATGGCTGTGTTTTCAAAAAGCTGAAGCTCGATGACGGCCAGACCTGCAGAATCAAGCAATCGCTTAAACAGCACTGGTGTTAAAACATAAAGTAGCCTAAAAGTGGTCAACATTCAAGACAAATGATAAGAGGTTCTACATAGGACAACATAGAACCTTTGTTGAACTGCTGCATCTGGCCAAAGCATTATTTCAGAAAACATAAATCATACAGTGAAACATGGCGGTGAAAGTATGGTCTAGGTTTTTTTTTTATCCATGTGCATTTATATGAAGAAAATAATGAACCCTGAAGAAGAGGTTATTGTTCCATGACCTTAAATTCAAGCATCTCAGAGTTTGACAGGACAACCTCAGAAAGCCCACCTCATAATAGTTAAAAAAAAATAAAAATCAAGGTATAGTAAAAGCCTAGTTGACATCTGGCATAAAATCCAGTTCAGCTTGATTAAAGATGCAAGAATATCAACTGAATTAAACATTTCTTTGGAAAACTATTTGGTGCTGACATAGTAAGTTGTTGTTTTTGAATACAGGCAGGTTGGTTTGGGATTTTGTTCTTACTAAATAGGTTTTGTAAAAAATCTCTTTTCTATTTAGTCACATTTAATCTGAAACATTTGAGTGTGACAAAGAGGAGCAAATGCAGAAGAGTGTTTTGCTACGAAGTAGATGATGAGGTAAAAGATGTCATGAAAACAGTAACTAAAAACATTTTTTGAGAGAAAAATTATTTAGCTTTCAGCACGGCGAGATGAACAGCTAGTTATTGTCATTCATGTGTGACGCCCGTCTCCTATTGATAATGTGCAGTAGGGCTGAGACAATAAATCGGATTAATCCTGATTAATACATTCTTTAAATGAAAGTTAACTAATTTAGTAATTGATTCATCGTTAACTGGATTATAGAGACCGTTGCCTTCAACTGACAGAGGAACCCACTTAGAAGAGTGACTATACCAAAATTCTAAAAATAAAAATGAGCATTTAATGTCAAATATTTTTTATATTTTCTTCTGTCAGTATCTTCCACCCATAACTCCTGAAGTGGAAAAGTTTTAGTTTCACCTGCTTTCATTCTATAAAAAAATATTGCTTTGAGGAACCTTTTGACTATCCGATTATTAATCAATTAATAATAATTGAACTTTATTGATCTCACATTGGAGAAATTTACCTCTGCATTTAACCCAATCCCTTGGGGAGCCGTGGGCTGCCATTGTGCGGTGCCCAGGGAGCAGTGTGGGGTTAAGGGTATTCCTCATGGACCCAGAGTGGAGGTTGTGGGGATCAAACCAGCTACTTTCAACTTTCTTAGAGCAGAAGTGCTCTGCTCTAACCACTAGGCCAAGACTCCCCTAATCAAATCAGATTAAATCAGATAAATAAAAATATATATAGATTAGCTAAATAATTGTTAGTTGCAGCCCTAAAGTACATCTTTGTAGCTTTGGACACTCATCACAATCATTTATAGCTAACTGACATCAGGTTTGATTTTTAGCAACGATTAGAGTATTAAAGTACACATTTTAAACATGCATGACTTTAGGTTTTATCATATGATTGAACATATGATACAAACCTCATTTCTAAGGTTTGTGTATTTTTTTTGGTAACTGCAGAGGTTGTTTGCTTGTAAACTCCTGTGTCGAATGCAGAAAGGTGTCGTTGTAACCTGACCTTTTAATATTGGGTAACAATAACCAACAGAAGAACAAATTTGCTCTTTGTAACAATTAAGTTTTGCAAACTGGGATAATAAATGAGAAGGAAAGAAAATGTTTGGGTTTCTGAAAGAGCAGAGTTTAACTTAATGGATAAAATGTTGATAAATTCAACAATGAGAGGCTTTGTCTTCATATCACAGAACCCCATTAATTACCAATGCAATAGATATTGTGCTTTTAGGTCTTATTTGTCCAATCAAAAAAATCCTCACCTTAAAGGAATGCAATATACAGAAATGACCTGATCTGCCTCGGCATAAATACATTAACCATACAGTTATCAGACTTTATTTACAGCATGTTTAGTTCATGTACATTCCCCTGTAGATGTCCCTAAAAGGTGCCTCTCACTGTTAACCCCCCCACCTTGAATACTGATCAGGGATCAGTTCCCAGGTGTCTGTAGTTAGGAAGTAGATCTGATTTCTGAAGAGGCTCAAGGGTGATTTCAGCTATCTGTGGTTCTCTGAGAAACAGGAAGTGAGTGGGTCATGTGACAGGAGTTGCAGCAGTCATTACAGAGGTCAGTTACATTACAGCACACTGGGTGGCTCCGCAGCAGTCCTTAATGATGGCCGCCCCCGACTTAGTGATGAATGGTTTGTTGGGTGGTGGATCTAGGATCTGTCGCTTGGGCTTTGGAGGATCTGTATAAAAAAAAAAAAAAGGAAATGGAGGTTATAGCATGTATGCAGATAAATTTGGTCAAAGAATAAATGTTGAAGCTCCAATTTACTTGTAGATTTGAGTTTCTGCTCCAAAGGCCTGAGCTTCAGCCTGAGGAACTCCGCCATTTCTTTGTCCTCCTCCTTCTCCCTGAAGAGCGATATGATCATCTTATCAGTGATGCAGTTCAATAAATGTCAGCATTTATCTGACCTGACTGCTTCCAGGGACCCGGTCCAAAGCTGCATGGTTTATTAATGCTTAAACATCGTAGAGCAAATCATTGATTAATCTAATGGTAAGATCCAAACTCGTTTCATTCTGTCACTTTCTTCCATAACGTCAAAATAAAATTCTTCAATTTAGAAGTACGGTGTTGTAAAACACCTGGCAGAAATAAAATTACTTGCGTACAGCAACCCTATGATGTGTTAATTGTTGAAGTTAGATCAAATTTGTGGATGGGGAACGTCATTATTTTAGGATGATGACATAATCAATTTTCTTTCTTTTAAAATCAATTTCTCTGTTTTCTTTCTAAAACCAAATGATCTCTTTTCTTTTTTATTGTATTTTAAACAGGATATAGACCCGACCTCTCCATTGCTGCTCCTTTATGTTGCAGCTTAATTTCTTTATTTTTTTCATTGTCTTTCAAGATTTGTGCTGCAAAATCTTTTTTTGTTTTTACTTTGCTGTTGGTCATGTTAAAATACTTGCTTTATATATCAATAAATTTCAAACCTAGCAGACTACCATTTAAATCTTAACTGTGCAAACCTAACAGATTCAAATCTGCATTATAGTTTTACATATGATCTGTGTGCTTTATGCATTAAAAGGTGTTGCAGAATTTTAAAATGAGATTCAACACAATTAGATACCATCAGGATGTGAAGAGTAAATCTGCATTGAAAACCATTCAGAAAAATTTGACCTGGCCATCTAATATCAAACAAATAAACAACTATATTTACTGGTGCTGTACCTAAGAACCAACGATTAATTACATACGTTATTTCATCCCTATGAGCAATTACCTCTTTGTGCAACATACATTCACAACATTCCAACTGCATGTTACATTCAGACATCTTCAGTCTCATCGCCTGGTTTTCACTACCATCCTCTCTGTATTACCAGTCTGTAATAAATGCTCAGCTTTGTAGCATCAGCAGTCATCTCAAAGAGACCAAATCCCGGATATTAACTCTGCACATCATGAAGCCTGTACCTTAATCTCTCCACCTCAGCATCATCAACCAGGAAATCCCTTTTCTGCACCAGTTTATGGATCTTCAGGATCAGCTCCTCCTCCCGCTGCTTGTGCTTCTTGTTCTTCTCTTTCTCTTTTGGCAAACAAGACATTTGTATAAATAACAGTGAAGTTGTGCAGCTAGGCAGATTAAAGTTACACTGTCATCTAAATCCCATCATCACAAACAGATCCTTAATTCTCTTCATGGATTATTTATTACAAATATAGGATTAACTTCACTAGTCAAATAAACTGAGAGCTTCCTTCTAGAAAGAAGATGCTTTTGTAACATCCATGGCCTTGTCTGACCTTCATGCACCAATGCAGCAAATGGAACCACCTAGATCGTATCAAAATGGACACACGCAGCTAAATAAGCATGTAGTGTAAGAATAATAATAATTAAAAAAAAATCTAAACTATGGAAAAATGCAATGATTCAACTGAAAAGTGAATGCACTGCTCAGCTCCATCTCCTGTCTGGAAGTAAAATGGGGCAGTGCAGCTGCTAAAAGTATCCCCAGGAGGTCAGGACAACCTGAAGGGTGGAGGGGTGGGGGTCTCTATATGCTACTGAAATAGTGCAAACACAAAGCCTCAGAGGTTGGCACAATGGAAACAGTCATAGTTGTAACTCAGACCACAAATTCCTTTTCATTTCGGAGCAAATTTAATGCAAATCAAAACTCTTAAAGATTCAAATTTTTACAAGAAAATGAAATTAATTGTATAACATAAATCAAATATGTTAGTAATAAGCTGTCTTATTTTTTTATATAAAATCTGCAGGACTTTTTATAAATGTGACTCTTTTTTTTGTTTATCACTAGTTTAATTCTTAAAATGTCTTGTTTTTAATGCTCGATGTGAACCTGTCCTTCAATAAAATGGAAAATGATCATGAAGCTTGTTACACATCTTTACATTCAGTGAATGTGGCCTGTTTTATTTTTGGCTGCTTGATAAATCTGAGTTGCAGCCTTTGTTTTTCAGACATTCACTGAAGGCCAAAGAAGCCTTTTCAGGAGAACATAGTCACACAGTCATAGCAACTGTGGAGGAAAAATATAAAACTGCTCGGGTTTGTATAGTCGATGCAGCTGAGATCAAATCCTGCAGCAGAGAGTGATGTCAGGCCATCTGTCTGAGTGATGGGGCTGATAATGATCATCAGAACATGAGCAGAAGAAAACTACCAAAGAAAACCTGTTTTTATGCAGACAACTCATCCAAGTGAGCTGAGCAATTAGGTACATTCTTTGCTTTATGTGTTTCAACACCAGGTTGAAACCAACCATGCAGCTAATCTTTATAAGATGGTAAGAAACTGTTTTAGAGTTGAATAATCCAGTTACGTATAAATACTTATTTTTTTGCCTTTATATCTGTGTTAACAGTCATCAATGGTGCTAAGGCTGCTGTTAGACATAAACATCCCATCATGAATGCGTGTTTGCAGCAGATGCCTTCAGAATGTTCAGGTTATTTTCTCTCCCCTGCTTTAAAATTAAACCCACCCTCAGTATGAGATGTCACGGATGTACTGTATGTTATCATGTGCGTCCTTGAACATGACACCCCCCACCCCACCCCGACATATAACCACACATGATGTACAGTCTTTCCCAGGAGACGTCTTTTTCTGCTGTTGCCAGGTTTGATTCATGCTCCCTGCTTCGTGTGTCCTATGTAGTTGCTAAGGGAGATGCTGCTTAAGTCAGTGAAACCATCTATCATATATCTACATTAGTATGGAGTTAACCCTATATTAGTTCTTACTCTCATATCTGTCATATTAAAAAAAAACAAAAATTCTAACCACTAGGCTGTAAAACAAAGGCTAAATTTGTAATATCCCCTTTCTTTAAAGGCCCTTGCAAAATGATTTATAACCTTTAGTTTTTTTCATTACCGCACAATATTTCATTTGAATTTGGTGTTAACACGTTGTCAATGATTGTAAATGTGTACATAAACGATACCTGGTTTTTCAACTAAAATCTGAAAAAGTTATGTTTATGTACTCAGAATCAGCATTAAGAGCAGACTCTATCTGTGCGTAATTTAAACTGAAAGTAAGCGAATGTGTTCTTTGAACAGCATTCATCTGAGAAGTAGAAAAGAGACACGTAACCCTGGGCGATCCACAGAGATCCGCAGCTCACTGAAAAAAGTGTAACATGTAACTGTTCATTCAAACTAATGCTTTTCACTCTAAACTAGATAAAATTGTTGATTTGATTATGTAAATCATTCATTTTGGATTTTGAGACATCAAGTTTGATGTAACCAGAACTACATACACGTAGCAAGGACTCAAAACAAGGTTTTTGATTTCTCTCAATATGTATATATTTATTCATGGCCTGCAGGTAATTTTTTCTGTTTGAGTCAAATGTGAACTGCGCTTTGCATGCAGTCAGAGCATGTGATCAAGTCCATGTCCCAGACCATGACAGAGTGGCTCAGTGGAGCAGTGGCTAGCACATCTGCATTGCAGCAAGAAGGTTGTGGGTTTGAATCCCGGCCCAGGATCCTTCTGCATGGAGTTTGCATGTTCTCCCTGAGCATGTGTGGGTTATTGTTTACATCAACATCATGTTATCAGGTCATAACATGCAATTAAATTCAGATTCTATGAAGTCAAATATTTCAGATGTGATGTCTGGAAATATTTTTTTTTAGTTTGAGCAAGGTTATACTTTTTCCAGTGCTCAGGTGGGACATGACAGGCATGTAGCAGGTGATCCACAAAGATTCCTTGTGCAAATGAAGAGCTGTGCAAACTGTTTGCTTCTACCTTATTGAAACGAGCAGTCTTTTACAGGCAGTTTGAGAGTGGCCGTAAAGGAAAGAAGAGGTCCTAAGCCATCTAGTTGGGGGTAATAGTAATTTAAATATTTGAGAAATAATAATAATGCTAAATACTATTTATACTGTACTTGACATAGGTAACATATCTCAAAGTGCTACAAATAAAAGTAAAAAAACTAACAAAAAGATGAGAATAAATAAAAGTTAAACTTGTGGTGGAGGTTTTATTAACAGACACAGAGACAGAGCTGAGATAGAAAAGTTTAAATAAAAGCATTATACTGAGTTTGGATGGCCTAGTTAAAGTACCTAATTCCAGTCTTTCTGACAACATCTTCCATCCAGTCTAATTAATCTGGAGCCAAGTAAGAATTTAAAGACATTTCAGTCTGTATGTACAAAGTTGAAGTTGTATTAAAAACTGGTTTTAAATCAAATAGCACCTTTTTCAGATTTTATCAGATTTTATTTTAACAACCTTGGACTCCAGTAGGTTGACTTCTGTCATAATTCCTGTTCATAACTGGATTTTTTTTTAGGGCTGGTTTGCGGACCAAGAGATTTTGTGACATTGCTCTGCTACCTCTGGCTGAGAACTACAGCATGTGTAACAGCCAGGATGAAGATCAGCTATTCCAAGCTTCTCACTTGGAGAAGTTTAATTATGCTTGTGTCTTCTAAGGAGAAAATTGGACGGGAAACGGACAGACAGACAGATCAGTTAAGCTGCTACAGGGGTGTGAACATCCTCGATTACCTGATGGTTTATGTTCCTACCTTCACCTATTGTCAATAAATCTGGGTCAAGCCTGAAAGAGCAAGATTCCACATATAAGGTGGCTGGGTACTGCCTTAGAGAAAGGAAAAGCAGCTCAGCCATCCAGGAGAGGCTTGGAGTAGAGCTGCTGCTTCTCCATCCTAAGGAGGCGTTCCAGTCATGTCCCACAGGAAGGAGGCCTAGAGAACATCCCAGGACAGGCTGGAGATACAATGTCTCCACTGGCCTTGGAACACCTCAAAAGTTGATCAGGAAGGTGTCTGGGAAGAAGGATGTCTGAGCATCTCTTTTTGGAGGGCTGCCCCCTTTTCCCAGTACCAGGGAAGCAGAGGACAACAAGTACAACATAATATTTCTTCTTGCTCTTAATACCTGCGCTAATACACACATATATACACACAAAAGAACTGAAGGGGTACCAACAGTTTTATAAGGCAAGGTAAGCTTTTCAACTTTCAAATGAATCCTCTGACCTTTGCTGTAATCTGTATCTCCTTTGTTGGTGAAGTTCAGATGGAGAAATTATCTTGCATGCATAACATAAAATCCAATCTTTGTACAGGAGCACAACAGAATATATGTAAGTGTGTATAACTGTACCTGGCACTGAAACAATCTGTCTCAACTCCTGCTTTAGGCTCATGATGTCTTTGCACAGTTGAATGTCGTCCATCCTGAGATTAAAAAGAACAATAATAGATCAGTTGATACCATCAGATTATTGTTTTATTTAGAGGATCCTGAAAAAAGTCAAAAACAGATAGAGGCACTTAGAGTCTCTTTCAAGAATTTCAGGTACAAAAATCGCTTCTGTAACAGAAACGAAATGCTTTGGACAATACTCTGGAATAAAAGACCGTATAACCATGTTTTTGAAAATGTAATAAAATTAAAATGTGACCTTTTTATTTTATTAATTTCAGACATAAAACTCATATCCAAATGTCAGAAATGTTTTTTTTTTCAGTATGTAGAAGTTTGACTGAATACAATTTATTTCTTCTGAATAGTATAAATAAGAAACTTTTCACGAAGGTAAATCTAATTTCATTATTTCATTTACAAAGAACTTGACTCCCATTTATTTTGCAGCTAAGCCAATTTGCTGACTTTAAAAGAAGATGGGATTCTATGTTATGACATGATTGAGCCTTCTTAGCTCCTGAGGATCAAATTAATTAATGTGATCGGCTGGATTTAGATGATTTTCAGGCTCAGGAAACCTTTTGGAGCTGATCAGCTGATTATTTCATAAACACTCCCACAGAGTTCCTAATATATAACCTTTTCACAGAAACTCTGGATTTGTTTTTTTTTTGGTTGAATTATTTTTTTGAATCTTGCTATATTTCCTTCCAGGTGAAATAAATCTAAACATCGTCATGGAAAGCATTAATAGACCACCCTTGTTTTTTATGTCCAATATATTGGTTATGTGGTTCCTACAAAGTAAAAAAAGTAAAAAAAACAAAAACAAGATATTGTTCCTGTGAATGCTAAATATCCCATCTATATTAATTATGCTTGTATTATTAACTATTATTATCCTATTTTTATATATATTTAAGCAGGAACTGAAAAAGTAGGAACTGACTGACAGAGACTAGTTGTTTTTACACTGATATTGAAAGCTTTTTTCAGATGTTACTAAACCAGGCTTGACTCATCCTTAGGCATCTGTCACAAACCATAAATATGACGAAGAATGATGCAAGAACAAAAATAAAGATATCATCCATCTGGAAAACTCTTTAAAATTCCTGCAGAGATGACATGGCACCCCCCCCCTGACATCCTGCACAGATTTACCTCAAACTGTGAGAGATCAGACCTATGACTCATCCACACCCTCCCTCCTCACTCCTCCTCTCCATCTTCTTACTGTTGCTCTGATTAAAACCCTCCTCTCTCTGCTTTACCTCACTCTTGTTGTCTTTTGTTTCACCTTTGAAATGTTTTCTGTGGATTCTAGCCCCTTTTCCCCCCGATGCCCACTCTGAGTGTGTTTTTTTTTTGGTGTTTTCATGTGACGACATGCCTCAGCAAACTGAGACGCCAGCACTTTCATTCTATCACAAACCTTCACACTGCAGATGTTAGACATTTTACTGTATGATGAAATAAAAAAAAATATTTAAACTGACAAATTACACAGAAAAGACATAACTTGGCAATTTTTAACATGGGAAATAAACAGCAGTCAATTTAACTAATCAATTTCCATACCTGACTAACCCTGTTCAATGACACAAATCATATTACTTCATTACAAATTTTATTAACAGAACAACAACGTTGATTTTTTGATTATTCGGCGTCTCCATTGGTGGAAGCTTGTCAATAGAAAAAAAAAAATTTTTGACTTAAGCCATAAAGTTTTAAAAGGCAATTACACTAAGTGATCAGGAAACTTTTAAAAAAGCTATTTTCTGAGAAATTCACAGTTTAACAAATTATTTGGCTTTGCAGCAAACGGCTATCAAGACCTGACCCCTGGTTTAAGGTTACACCCTGAAAAAAATGTCTTTTTAGCCTCTCTTTGACAATATCTGCTTTCAGCTGTCTATTGGTGTGCTGTGAAAAACAGCTCAGACTTATTTCATGTTGAAGGAAACAGTTTCTAAAACAGACCTCTAAGCTGAGGACCCAGCAGGTTCATCACAGTGACTCATTCATCTGATGCCGACATGTTCAGCCTGCAGAATAATCAATCGCTGCTCCCAAACACCCGGTTCATTGTGTGTGAACTAAGTAGCATCTGAAATCCTTTGCAAGCGCATCTTAATATCTCTGAAAGTATCACTGTGACTAGATGAAGCTCATCACCCCCCGCTGAGGGACACTGCAGGAACTGTTACACCGCTTCACTGGTTAACCTTTTTCACATTCTGTGTACGTCAGTGTGGAAATGACACAGAGAAAGACACACTCACATGAAACGCAGCTCTGACTCCCTGCGCACCAGGACCTCCCGAAGGCGCTGAATGCGAGCCATCTCCACCTCGATCTCTTCCGGAGACATGGTGCTTTCAGCCATGGACACGTCTGAGTGACCTGAGATGCAAAGAAAGCTGCCGGGTGAAATAAACACTGGCTCTATGGGGGGGAAACAACAACTAAATTCCTCATAAATCCTATTTTTGTCTAGCCCGCAGCAGTGCTAGTATAGTTACAGAGTGCGCTTACTCCATTCAGGTCTGCAGACCTCTTTCTTTTCTCTTTATTTCTGAAAAGTTCTTGGAAACTTTATTGTGACATCAGCAATGTTGCCCTTTTCATGTGGCGGGTGTTTTCACATAGCCAGGAGGGTGAGCATTGGAGAGCAGAAGGTGTGGAAGCAACAGACGCTTTGGAAGTTTCAATCTTTTATTCTCAGGCAGTTTGAATCTTCTCCAAGAGGTGTTGATTGGGTCCATACTGTGCATGCGTCAATTCTAACCAACATATCTGCCAAATATGTGTACAAACTGCAGCCTCTGATGATGATCTTTGCAAACCACTTAATCCACTGATTAATCTACTGGCTGCTGAAAATGCTCCAGGATCTGCAGCCACAAGCACAGTTCTGACCTTTCCAGCATGGCTCTCAGTAAGCAGCACACATCTGTCTTATTACATTTAATTTAAAGCATCTCTCTCATGTTAGGACCACAAAATTTTCAGTTTTTTCATTGGAACTTTATGTAATAGTGATAAAGAAATGCATAATTTTATGGCAAGAGAAAATCTTAATTAATAGTGGAGTGCATTTTTTTTTCTATCCCCTCTCCCCTGAACACCCTAAGTTAAATTCACTCTACCCAATAGTCTCACTAATGAAAAGAGTCAATCTGTGTATGAGTTTTTCAGATGTCCTGTGCAGGTAAGTTAGAGGATATTAGTGAGAAAACAGCATCCTAAAAATTAGGGGTCAGAAGGAAAGTTAAAGAGAAGTTTAAAGTAGTCTTAGATTGTTATAAGAATATTAATCATTGTAATGAATCATATCAAACTGGACAGTGCCGTCCACTGACATGATGGGCAATGAAGGCAGTAAGAGATGAGGCCCAGGATTAATCTGGAGGAGATGCTGAGTTCCACAGCTTATTTTGGAAAATGTGTGTTTGTTCTGTAACTCAACCAGTCTGCCTCTTTTGCAAGAGTGGAGGAAGAAAGATACAATTGATCTAAAAGATGTAATGTTTTCCTCCTTTGTGCACCTTCAGTTTGTTTAAAAGAGCCGATGTAACAAGAACATTTCTCCATTCTGAGATTAATAAAGTTATATTCTATTCTTCTATTATATTCTATTTACAGTTTTGAAAAATAACCTTTTAAACTACACGCAAAAAGCTACACTTACAAATTCACCTAAATTTGAATATCTATGCAATTTTATTACATAACAAATTCACATGTACACTTTTAGATTATTATTAAATAAACCTTACATGATGCATAATTCATTTGTTTAATATAATATATTTTCAGGTGGTTTTACAGCACGAGTGGCTTGTTTGTTTGGACAGTAGGCTGACAGGAAAGGGGGTTAGTGTTTCCATTATGCAATTAAAACAATAAACTTTATGTATGTGAAATAAATACACCCATTAGTAATTTGGATTTAATTATTAATTTTGATTAAGTATACTTTATTATTACTAAATACATAAACCTGATGATTGTTTATTTCAAATCAATAAGATACATAAAACTAATGAAAATGCATAATGTAAGGTTTATTTAAGTAGAAAAAAAAGACTAAAGATTAAAAAAGGTAAATGGGAATGTTAGGTAATTAAATTAAATACATTTGGGTGAACTATTTTTGAGAGTGTATGTAAGAAGGAACACCAACACTTAACAGACTATCATTGCAGAAAGGTGGAGGCAGCGTCATGCTGTGAGGACGCATAGCTTCAGCACGGACAGGGAAGCTGGATGGATGGAGCTAAATGTTGGACAACCGGAAAGAAAAACCTTTCAGCGGATTTACTTTAGACTAGGAAGAGTGTTCACCTATCTCCAAAGGAAAGGTTTGGATTAAAGCATAGTCTATTGTAAGTATCAAATACCTAATCCCAACAGAGAATGTGCTGACCTTCACAGATGCTCTCCACCAATGGGAGTCTGCTTGAGCTGTTTTGCAAACGAGAAAAGTCTAAATGTTCAGGCTGCAGGCGTGTACATGCCCCCAAAAATCCCATTTTCAATTGCAAAGACATACAGAGACAGCCTTTGATCCTATATGATCAAAGCACAGTTTAAAGAATTTCATGATTTCCTCAGTTGTGGAGCCAGAGTGGCTACTTCACTGGTTAGGAGACTTCTGAGGAAAACTGGTCGAACTGGATTCATATCAGTTGCTTCAGAGTAAAGAGAACTAAACACATCACACAGATAAATTCCATTTTTCTCTTGTGAACTACTTTGTGTTGATCTAACTCATTAGATCAATAATACATTGAAATTTCCCATTACAATGATAGAAAACATTGATAAACAAGACTTCCTTAACTAATGCAGTAAACAACCCATTTGTTGTGTTTTTCCTGAGTCAACGATCCACGGTTGGATACTGTAGCACTGGCGAACCAGCTGGACAGGCTCCGCAGTCTGTTTCTGTGGGGTTCTGCTCAATATGGAGCTGACTCACCACATAAACATTTGCACACAACTCAGCTTGTTTGTCTGCTCTAGTTTCGAATCATCATCTAATGTGTGTGTAGATGATCAACACTGATAATAAAACAACGTTCATATCATGTAGGTGCAGCTTAAAACATGGGAAAGTTTGTTTTCTTAGGCATTCACTGTTTTCCATCATCTTCCTTGTGGATTGTTACCAGACAGACCAAGCTGCAGTAAATCTATACTATGCCATTAAAGATCACAAAATGGCAGCTAAATATCCCCACAGCTTCCTTTTATATCAACTATATAACATCTGAAAAAGCATATTAAGCACTAATTATCAACAGCAAACTGCCCTCATTGTTCTAAGTGCAAAGCAGTTTTAGTTTAAACAGAATAATTCAGGTTTATTTGCCACATTTTATTTCAAATAGATCGTCCTCAGAGTCAAATTGCCTGGAGACTGTGCAGCAGCCTCTCTAGGAAGAGAGAAAGAAAGACATGTCAGCCTGTCACCTGGATGCAGAGGCTCCTGACATATCCTGCAGTCTGACTGAATGCTCTAATGCTGCCGGATCAGCCTTCTCTACACAAAAAAAAACAAAAAAAAACTGGAGAGAACAAAATACAAACAGCAACATGCTTTATGTAAAGGTTTATATTTTGGGGGATGAAGAAATGCTAAAAAGGTCACCTCAGGTAAGACAGAATAATCACCTCTGTATTGTTAGCCTTCTTCTCAGACTCTAAAAGTGTCCTATACCACCATGGTCAGAACCAACACATATCTGTCCAAAATAATATATATATATATATATATATATATATATATATATATATATATATATA